CAGAATAATCATGGCACTTGTTGCTCATTATGATCTTGAGTTACATCAGATGGATGTTAAGACTGCATTTCTCAATGGAGACATTGATGAGATGATCTATATGGTGCAACCAGAAAACTTTGTGTCGGGAGACCCAAAGAATATGGTCTGCAAATTAAGGAAATCCATCTATGGACTCAAGCAAGCTCCTCGTCAATGGTATCATAAGTTTCAACAAATAGTTATCTCGTTCGGTTTTGAGATGAACATTGTTGATGACTGTGTATATCACAAGTTCAGTGGGAGTAAGTATATTTTTCTGGTTCTGTATGTGGATGACATCTTGCTTGCCACTAATGATATAGGCATGTTGCACGAAACCAAGAGATTTCTATCAAAGAATTTTGAGATGAAAGATCTTGGGGACGCCTCTTTTATATTAGGGATCCAGATACATCGAGATCGCTCTCGGGGTATTCTTGGATTATCACAAAAGAGCTATATCGATAAGGTACTTAAAAGGTTTGGCATGCAAGATTGCAGACCAGGTGACACCCCTGTTGCTAAAGGAGACAAGTTTAGTCTCAATCAGTGCCCTAAAGGTAACCTTGAAATTCAGGAAATGCAGAAGATTCCTTATGCTTCGGCTGTAGGAAGTCTAATGTATGCTCAGGTATGTACGCGTCCGGATATTGCGTACATTGTTGGGATGTTAGGCAGATACTTAAGCAACCCTGGTATGGATCATTGGATAGCAGTCAAAAGGGTTATGAGGTATCTTCAGAAAACAAAAGATTACATGCTCACATACAGAAAATCAGAGAAATTAGAGGTCATTGGGTATTCGGACTCTGATTTTGCTGGATGCCAAGATAGCAGGAAGTCTACATCAGGCTACATTTATATGTTAGCAGGAGGAGCTATATCATGGAAAAGTGTCAAACAAACACTAGTAGCTTCCTCCACTATGGCAGCAGAATTTGTAGCTTGCTATGAGGCATCCAATCAGGGAATATGGCTGCGAAATTTTGTCACGGGACTGCGCATTTTGGAAAATGTTGAAAGACCACTAAGGCTATATTGTGACAATAAATCTGCAGTAATGTATTCCAATAACAACAGGAGCTCAACTAAGTCAAAACATATTGACATTAAGTTCCTGGTTGTGAAAGAAAGGGTACAGAGTGGACAGATATCCATAGAGCACATTGGGACAAACTCCATGATAGCTGATCCTCTTACTAAGGGATTGCCACCTAAGGTCTTTCATGAGCATACTGCTCATATGGGTGTGGTATTATTTGAGGATATTATGTTTTAGTGGGAGTTTGTATTTGTGGTGCTTTATGTTTGGTTGTATTGTCTGATCAGAATAAAGTATTCAGTTAAGACACTCTGTTACATTATGTTTGGTTTTGACCTCACTAAGGAGGACCAGTTGAAAATAGACATGTACTGATCACATTGCATGTAATTTTCATGCTGCACATCCATGATTGATCTATGTCGTTTGATTGTATTGGTATATGTGACCATTGATGGGTCGAGTCACGATAAATGTGACGAAGGCCGCTTTGATCCTATATTGATATAGTCAATGGACGAGATTGTTCGGAAATACCATTTCAGTGATAGCAATTTTTGAGCTCATAAGGTTATACACAGTTTAAGGAATCATATGGTGCCCAAGTGGGAGATTGTTGGATTTAATCTAATAAATCTATTTGTGGGCACATATGATTAATCAATGTGTATTGCTATCTTTCAGGATAACCCACTAAAGTGATCAATTAAGTTGGGTTAATGGGTATTTAAATATAATCATGGGGTTATATGTGCAGATACCAGGTTGTAATTGTGATTTATTGAGGGGCTAAATTACAAAAGTACAACATCTATAAATAAGGGGTTATGGTCCCTAACCTAGGGTTACATTCTCTAATTCTCTACACCCCCATCTAGCTAGAGAAATTCGGATTTAGAGAAACCCTAAGGTTAGAAGATCATCAAAAACCCAAATCAAGATTTCATCCATGGATTCAGGTATAAGCTTCCGCTCTTTTGATTATTGTTAATCTCTTTGAATTAATCATGGCTATATGGTTTTAGATCTCAAGTTTTGATTTAGATCTAACACGATCCACACAGACGAACTCATTGTAAGTTACCCCATATTTAACCTAAATGCTGCTCCATATACACATTCTCATATCTTCGACGCTCACTCTGATTTAGCAGAAAAGAACAACAAGAAACTTAGAATTTAAACATGCATATCATGTTAGGATGTAAGTGGCAAGGTTTTAAAAACATGGTTAATCAGATTATGCGACAACTGATCGGATTACGCGAAATTGCACATGTGTGAATTTTTAATATATATATAAATATTCATGAATAATAGTTGACAAAATTCAGACCTCTAGAGGTTTCAATATAAACTCAAACTTGAGTTCCTCTAGGGGGTCTACCCAAACAAACACAATCTGATCGTATACCAACAAAGAATGAATTCAAACCCTAAAAGCGTCTAGGGCGAATCTACAGCTACAAATTGAACCAGGACAGAAGTTAACAAAGAGGGAAGCAGAGTACCTTTTGAGAGAAGCAACGACGGAGATTGGAACAGAGCTCGACGGCGGCGGGGGACTTGGAATCTAGTCGGCAGAGGCGCTGACGGTGGCGTCGGCGGCGGTGCCAAAAGAGGCGGCGGTGCCAAAAGAGGCGGCGGTGGGGGGTTTCTAGGGTTTATGCAAAGTATTTGCTAGTGAGACACCCTAGGGTGTCTCGAAAATTCCGAGACACCCCTGGGGTGTCTCGGAATTTCTGAGACACCCCTGGAGGTGTTTCGGGGTTCCGAGACGTCCGTAGGTGCGTTTTGGTCGTTTCCCCGTAGATTCTTCGTACGAACTCGGGTTTGAGTGATTCCGGGTGCGTTGGATGCGTGACGAAGAGTTCGATCCGCTCTGATGGTTGGATTGTCTGTAGAGTGGCCGAGGCACGAGGTGCGTTGTCCTTTTTTGTGAACAGTGCCGGGCTTCCCGATTGGTCCGGGTCTTCGTGATTCTCGATTCACTTCAATCGTTCATCGACGTCGATTAGGCTCATGTGGGTCGGATGGTGATGTTCATTGTCGCTCGTTAACACTGAACCGTTTATGGAGACCTATAGGCAATTTTCGATGCCTACAGAGGCCGTTAAGAGATCGCCGAGATCCGAACGAGTTTGGATGCCTGTTTTCGGTAAAAGTCGCTGTTTTCATTGATATTCTCTTTTTGAGATCTGTTACAACTTCAAGCGAATCATATGGTGCCCAAGTGGGAGATTGTTGGATTTAATCTAATAAATCTATTTGTGGGCACATATGATTAATCAATGTGTATTGCTATCTTTCAGGATAACCCACTAAAGTGATCAATTAAGTTGGGTTAATTTGGTATTTAAATAAGTCATGGGGTTATATGTGCAGATACCAGGTTGTAATTGTAATTTATTGAGGGGCTAAATTACAAAAGTACAACATCTATAAATAAGGGGTTATGGTCCCTAACCTAGGGTTACATTCTCTAATTCTCTACACCCCCATCTAGCTAGAGAAATTCGGTTTTAGAGAGAACCCTAAGGTTAGAAGATCATCAAAAAACCCAAATCAAGATTTCATCCATGGATTCAGGTATAAGCTTCCGCTCTTTTGATTATTGTTAATCTCTTTGAATTAATCATGGCTATATGGTTTTAGATCTCAAGTTTTATGATGTAGATCTAACAGATAGTACCGAGGCCCTACCCACAATTAACCCTTTCGTGTTCAAATCATTATCAAACCTACATGTCTAGCAATTAAGACAATCTAAATCTTCTGAAATATAAATCAACTTTTTTTTATTAATTAATAGAGTAAGGATAGAACCTGTAAATGAGGCTCCAGCCAATGCCACAACTCAAAAAGGGCTGATACAAAGCTAAAGACCACACTCTCAGTTTTAGAGCGCCATCTAACGATGATACCCATACGTACAGATGAATCAGCCTATTTTGATGCGCTAATTTTACAACCAGCTAAAGAGTTATCCCTTTCGCAAGAAGTCAATATTAGAAATATATTTGCTAGACAAATTTTCAACACATATAAAAATGAGGTGTAAAATTCAATATGAATATGCAGATCAAGACGAACGATCCTGATCATCGTACTGAACGATCCTGATCATCATATTGAGTAGCTAATTAGAGCAATGCATGCAGCGTGAGGTGAAAATCTCAATCTAATCGTGTCATTCTCTTTTATCCATCGACAAAAGAGCTCAATGCTCTAGATCAAGGATTGGACTCGAAAGAAAACAGTAGCACGGCAAAGGCTTAATTGCAGATACACTCCCTTTATTACATAGGGTTAGACCTTAATTATCCATATGCTTTTTTATTGGCACGTGGATAAGGCTGTCCAAACAGGCCGGCCCGACCGGCCCAATCCGCACTTCCAAGTTCGGGTCCGGGCTATGGTGCTCGGGCTAGGCTAGGGTCCGGACCAAACCAGGCTAGCGCCGGGCCGATCTAGATTTTTTTAGATTTTTTTTATTTTAAATTTTTTTTGCTAAAAATTGATTAAAAAATTAAATTAATCTTATTATATTTATATAAGTATTAGTATATACTTACATATTAGTATATTAGTATATAGCTATATATTATGAGAAAATTGTATGTGTGCTGACAGCTTACTCCTTTTGTGAGCTGCAGGGATTTTTTTGAAAAAATCCCTCCGATATCAGCATCTCGTGACCCCAACTAGGCTTCCTCTTCTCGGGACCCCAACCCAGATCTCAAATAGACGAAAAATTCCTCAAGGACCCAAAATATGGGACCAATAGAGGGGACATGTGAGGTGTCCCCCTCCTATTGGATAATGAGTTGGCCATCATTAATCATTAATGATGGCCAACTCATTATCCAATAGGAGGGGGACATCTCACTTGTCCCCTCTATTGGTTTCATATTTTGGGACCTATACAAAACTCCAAATAGAAAAAAAAAACCCCTCCCGAAACTATCCCCCCAAAAATCGTGACGAGATCCTCCAGCCCTCCCATCCTCCGGCTCCACCACCAGCCCCCCTTCCTCCGGCGCGATCCCTAGGCTCCCCCGCAATCCCTGCAGCATATTCAGCACAAATCTCCGACCATCGAGACCTCTCTCCGCCTCCCTGCAGTCGACGCGAGCATCGAGACCTCTCATCCAAGACTCTTCGTACCGGAGTAGGAAAAAGTTTGATCTTTTTTAGTTTGTGATTTGAGGTATGAAAAAGTTTGGATTTTGATTTGTGGGTCTTGCTTAGTTTGTGATTTGAGGGAGACCCATTTGATCTTTTATTTTTTATTTTTTGTGATTTGGCTCATGGGGTTTTTGTTAATTTTAGTTTCTCTTGCTTTTTGATCCGTTTCTATTAGCATGGCTTTCTTTGCATTTTTATCTATTGCATTATCTGCTCTAATATCAGGACATAAACTCTCCACTCAAACCTATATATAACTACCATACGATTTTGTTCATTGTATCAATAGTTTTTGTTTCATAAAATCCGATTTCATTATTTGTTCGCTGCTGTCAAGTAATAATTCGAGGAATGAAGTTCATCATGTAATTTGAGAGTTAATTTACATCATAATAAATCTGTAATCCTGCTATTGGACATTTGGACTCAATGGATGTTGTTAAAGAAAATTATTGAGCTTTAGAGATTTATCATTTATGAGAATTATTGTTCATACCTGATTTCTTTAGAATTTCCGTGAGTTTGTTCATTGACTAAGTTTGTTCAAAGCAACAAGGTTCATCTTAATATCCAAATCATGCAGGTGATGGCCAACACATTAATTTTATAAGAATTAGGAAACACAAGATTCACTCTGGTATATACTGGGTTATTAAAGATTGAACCAAAAGTAGTGAGTAGTGACCATCTGAGGATGGGAAAAAGAAAAGAAATCTAGTCTTTTTCTGCAAAAGAAATCTAGTCTTTTTCTGCACTATTATGTAATCAAACTTTGTTGTGTTTATCTGTTTGCAATATTTAGTTTTGCTATGTTGCAGTAAACTGTGATTTTTACAATTTTTTAAACTGCAAATTAACATGTATGGACCACCTACCGCACTTATAATTTACTGATTATTTATTTTTAAACCACAATTTTTTAGGTGGTCCATGGCAAGAAAGAGTTTTTACATCGCTCGTGATTCAGCATCCAACTCAAGGCGTGTCCAGACACCTGTTTATGTCCCGACACCTGATTCTGCATTGAGCTCAAGGACTACTATTCCCCCCATCTACGCTTTTGCATTAGGTTCAGTGTTTACAATATTAGTGTTGGTAGTATGTATTGTTTTAGTATTTATTATTTTCTATATTGCAAAAATTATGTGATTGTGAGAACTTATGTATCTGGTAAGAAATTATGTATCTGGTGTGATTGGGAGAACTTATGTATCTTGTAAGAACTTATTGTGTATCTGATGTTATGAAAATTTGAGATGCCTGAAGATGAAACGATTGAGTTGTTGTTATGTCAGGTTAGTGGAAATGTATATTGAAGTAATCAACTGAATACATATGCAGCACAAATTCTTGGATTAAAAATTGAAAGTAGTTGATCAATTTGCTCGTATTAGATTGAAGTTTTAGAGTAGTTGATTGACTTCTGATTCTATTGATCTTCTTTTCCAATTGCACTGGTGTGCAGATTCATCATTGTACTCAAATTATTGTTCTCAAATTATTGTTCTCTACCTTTTGAATTTCATCTGAAAAACTAGAATGTTATGCACAACTGATAAATGAAGATGGCAGGGATCAAATTCTAGGTCCTGTTGCATGTCTGAATTTTATTTGCGTGTCACACATTACATAGACAATTATTGGGGCATGTCAGATAAAAATGCTCTCACGAAAATTAGAGTCAAGCTGTGAAGAAAATTATTGAGCTTCAATATATCAATTTATCGACCATGCACAAATGTATATTGAAGAAACATATGCAACACAAATGTATATTGAAGAAACATGAACATGAACTTCAATATATCGACCAGAAGCAACACAAACAGTGATCAACCAGAAACATATGCAGCTTAATCAACTGAATACATATGCAGCACAAATGTATCGACCAGAAAATAATACATCCAAGAGCTCTCACAAATTAGAGTCATTTTCTTGTTTCAAAACAAAAATAGTTACAACAAAAGTTATTGTTGATACATTCAGACTTCATGCATTGAACCCCAATTGCTCGGATTTTTCAAGTTGCATCAATCGCTCGAACCACCCACAATTGCTTGAATCCCAATTGCTCAAATTATTATCTTGCACAAATTGGCGTTCTCTTGCACAAATTGAATCCCCTGGAATAAGTAGGATGGATTAAGAGTTTAGAATAAAAGAATTTATCAATTTTACAAAAAGGCATATTAGAGACCTCAAATTATTGATATCAAGGGACCATTTTGAGTTTGAAAATGACCTCCTGGCAAATATACAATGTTTCTTTGGAGGCTGATAAAACTCATAAAAGTCCTTTGATTTCATCATATTGTAGAAAATAAATAAAAGATAACAGATGGTACCAAAATGGAAGCAAACAGAAAGCCAAAAGGGAACAAATTCCGACATACGTACATGAACAAATCCATGCATGCCAATAGCAAGAATCCAGACAATTTTTCGTTTAGCTGCAAATCACAACATGACAAATTAATCATATAATTGTACCAATGCAAATTGTGTTATGAACTTCCATGAAAAAATATTAATTGTACCTTGTTTTAAATTAACAACAATTAAAACCAATGATATTGAAAGAAGTTAAAGACCAAAAAAGAGAGACCCATGTATTCTTTGTTATTTACAGACTTGATTGACCTAGTTGTATAAATTTTTATCATCATCATTTCTTTGTTAATATTTTGTAAATGTGATTTAAGAATAAGTTCCAAATTATCTCATTCAATAGATTGAAATGAAAAAAACAACAGTTCTATTAACCCCCAAAAGAGGCTAGGTTTGATAAGAGAACAAGCATCAAAACAGAAGGAAAAGGATAGGGATTTTACCTGAGGATGACGGCGCGATCAGAAGTTCGACGGCGAGATCCGGCGGTGCTATGCGTTTTTGGGGCTCGCGCAGGAGGAAAGGGGGTTGGGGGAGAGAGATTTGGAGATCCGGTGGTGCTCTGCGTTTTTGGGGCTCGCGCAGGAGGAAAGGGGGTTGGAGAGAGAGATTTGGAGATCCGGTAGCGTGACAATTTTTGGGGGGTTTTGAGTTCATGGAGGAGGAGGGGGGAATGGAGGAGGAAGTCTATTTGAGATCTGGGTTGGGGTCCCGAGAAGAGGAAGTCTAGTTAGGGTCACGAGATGCTGATATCGGAGGGATTTTTTCAAAAAAATCCCTGCAGCGCACAAAAGGAGTAAGCTGCCAGCACACATACAGTTTTCTCATATATTATGTGTAAGTATATATAAGTATACATTAATGATCATATCATACTATATAAAAAATATATAAAATTAAAAATCAGGCCGGGCCGGGCTCGGGTCAGGCTTCACAAACTTGGCCCAGACACAGGCCCAGAGCCCGACCGACCCGGATTTTCCAGGCCTTACCAGGGCCCG